AGAAAGTGAAAGTGTAAATAAGGATTAAAATGACTAAAATGAATAATTGATAATTTGAAATAGGAAGAAAAGATCCAAATGGGCAGGAGAAGTGGGAGGGGAAGGGGAAAGGAAAGAAGGGAAAGGAAAAATTATGAGAAAAAAAAAAGTCGAAAAAAGGTTATGTAAATAGGGGCAGGTAGAGGGGGTGAAGGGCCCACAGGTAATGGGGAAAAAATAAGAACCAAGATGTATGATGTACAGGTACAAACACCCAATGATAAATGTAAATGTATTGTATACCTAAAATGTACCAATAAAAGAATTTAAGCAAAAAAAAAGTTAGATCTGTATGAAATATATTTTGGTTTCTTTCTTATATCCATTTTAAGGAAAAGGGTGTTACTCAATTTTGTTTTATATTTGGAAATTTTATTTTATATTTGGATATATATACTAGATATTATTATATATTATATAACATATTGAATTGGCTATAGATTCATTGAGTCTGAATATAAGGTCCTTCTCCTCTCACTTCCACAAATTTAGTTGAGATTATCAAGAGAAAAGGTAAAAATATCAATTCAGCCTTAGATATGTCCAAAACTTCTGTTCCTCATTCTTTAGCATAGAGTATATGATATCTAAAGTTTACAAGGGGAGAATATTATATTTGTTTAGAAAGTTTTATGCCATCACTAAAGTATTTATGTAAAATAAAAATATGGAAAGTATCTATATATTATTAAAACTTTGCTCTAAAGCAACAAATCCAGAATGAAACCCTAGTTGTTTTATTTCTATGAGACCAAACATTTATATTCTGACTTTTTAAAAACTGCAGTGACATATTTTTGCCAGTGCAGTGTTTGTCTACATTATGTTAGACCCAACCCAACATACTGAAGAAGAGAACGAAAACAGTTGTGCGATTAACTTAAATCAAATGAAACTTGGTTAAGAGGATCTAGCAAATAACCTGTTCATTTCTTCAATTTTCTCACATTGTTCACAAGTCAATATTACCATTCTGAAGAAACTATACCATTTATTTAGTTAATTTTGTCCAAAAATAACAAAACACTGCTTGTTATTTTAAATTGGTTTTCAAGACTCTTCTGAGTTTCACTAAAAGTGTAATTGAAATATTCCACTCTCTACTCTGTAGTCAAAATCTTAATGAGCAACAAATTGTCTCTTTTTGTGGATTTAAGGCAACTTTTTAATCATAACCTTACTCAAGTTAAATGTTAACATTTTGGTTGGTAACAAGGTTCACTAAAAATAAAATGTTACTGTAATTCCGTGGTATTAAGTGGCCACATTTAAGCCAAAGAGTTGCTAAAATTAACTAAAAATGCCTACTTGCATGACCTTTAACAAGCTGAAGTCTCACTGATAATTACATTGGTAGAAAGTTCCTAACCTAACTGATGTTATAGAAAATGAAAGCTAGAAAAGCTGCTGTATTTTATTAGTAATAATACTGTCTATTATTTTAATGATGAAAATGCCTAGGAGATCTTATAAAGTGATGAATATCATTAAAAAACAGGCTCATTGAGCTCCAAGCTTATTGGCTTGTGCTGCTGCAAGATCACCAGCATACTTTAATTTTAAACTTGCTAACACAAAATAGTAACTGGAGAGTAATTTGTTTCACTTTTTCTTAGTGAAATTATGATGGAAAACTGTTCACCTGGGAAAATCCAAATTCATATCATAAACATAATGCTGCTTATAAGGAGTCCTAATGATATACTTTATGAATTTTAATTTCTGTTTGGAAGTCAGCAAGTGTGCATTCTATAAATGTAAACCATCTGTTGGCACCTCCTAAAGACTAGATTTCAGTCCATCCTAACATGAATTATTTATTTTGATAGATTTCTTTCCTAAGCAAATTCAAGTGTGTGTGTGTGTGTGTGTGTGTGTGTGTGTGTGTGTGAATCTGTTTTTAATCTGTAAGTAAAGTTTCAAAGTCAGGATATGCATGATTGCAAACCTAGCTGATAAGAGTTCTCAACAAATTGAAATGTATTTATGTTACATAATTTTTGTGAAGTTAAGAAATATCACTTAATATTAGATCAAAAGTAAAAGAATAAATGACAGGAGATAATAAGACATTTCTGTAACTTTGATGCTTCAATGACAATACCAAAAATTTCTATTACCAGAGAAGAGAATGTCATACCTATCTACTGAGGATCTCCCATGTTTCATAGTTATAAGGCAAGAGAAATGACAACGAACATTTTAAACATATTGACTTCACTTGATAAGAATTTACTGGGCCAGGGATTTAGCTCAGTGGTTTTGACACTTGCTGTGCAAGCGCAAAGACCAGAGTTCGACCCTCGGTACCAAAAAAAAAAAAAAAAAAAATTTACTATACCTTGAAGAAATGCAAAAGATTTAATTAGGATTAATTTAACATAATTTGTTATAGTGTCAGTACTTCATTTTATATAATTATTCTTGATGAATATTTAAAATAAGCTCTTATATGACAATGATTACTCCCAATAATTACACTTTTCTCTTCAGTTTGTATCTAACTTTTGCTTTTCTATGAAAAACATTCATTAGGTATGATGGAGTGACTCTGTACTGCAGGCAGAAATTAAACAGATGCTCAAAGGTGTTTTTAAACCAGGTCCATGAGAGAATCATACAGTGTTAGAATAGAAGTTACGCCATTAGATATGTGCTTTGAACCTGTTGAACAAATTGTACAGACAAATGAATCCACATTCTGCATTACAAATTAGAGCAGGATTTAAATGAGGTTTTAACAATCAAAATTTTCTCAGCTGAAAATAAGGGCCTTCAAATAATAATAATGTAAAAACTATATTTCCTAGGGTATTAACTTTTTTTCATAACATAGCCTACTTGAAGCAATACTCTTACCTTAGGGCTATTGGATTCTTTTTTATTCCTTGTATGTTCACTATCATGGGAAGATTAAATCAGCTGGGAGAAGTCTGTGCTTTTCTGTATCAAGAACCCAGTTCCTGCTGCACCTAGGCTGGATTGGGCGTATGTGTATTTCTATAACATATGTTGCCCTTGGAGAGTTACAGCTGCATTTGCATCTCTGGGTTGGTCTCTCCCACCTCTTTCACCCTTTAGCAGTTTTTGTTCTCTTTCATTCAGGCAAATTTGAAATGATTAAATGTTCTTGGATTATACACGAAAGCTATAAGACAAAGAGGCATTTCATCCCAATTTCAGCTCTGAATTCTATCTATAGATTTTAAAATATATCTTTATTCCTCTAGTCAACAAATTTAAAATGTATTTAATCCAGGGTAATTATTGATTCTTAATTGAGAAAAACATAATGCACCCTCCAAAAAATTACCCATTTTCTTCTCTTAGCCAAAGTTCTTTGTCCAATCATAATTCTCTGTACCCTTAATATATGAAGTCCTCTTAAGCTGGATGTCTATTAAAAATAACATTTAACCATATATACTGAATAAGTGATATCATAACTATTTTTTTACAAAAAACATCAATGTCAAACAGGATTTGCATTAAGCCTTTCAACAGGAAATTCTCTGTAAAGTATGTCTGTTAAGTATGTCAACTTTCCCTCAATGTAGTGCTCCGTTCAGTAGGTTATGCTATTCAGGGACAAAACAAAGAACATTATTCTTTTGTAATGACACCATTTTAAAATCTGTTTTCCAAGTTAAAAATATCACATCTTTGCTTTGGTTGAAAATTACCAATATGAATGTAGGTAGAGTTCAAATACCTGAACATATAGACCTAATATGAGTTATTCTCATCATGTAGTTAAAAGAGATGTATATAGAAAAGGCAAGAGGAAGCTACTGAATCCTGAGGCTTGTGCATCTCTTCATTTACAAAAATAACGTGTGTCATGCTACTAATAATTGTCTTTTCAGTGTACATTTTGAATCTATTTCTTTTCTGTCTTTATTATGAGAATCTAATAAAATCACTGTCTTCTTCCAGTGTGCAATAACCTCCAATTTGTCTCTCAACATCCATTCTGCCTATATTTAATTCACTGTCAACACAAAAGCCAGAGAAATACAAAAGAGATCATTTAATTTCCCACTTAAAATATTTTTTTTAAAATAGAAAATGATCTATTTCAAATACCCATACATTTTGGAAAGTTTTAAACATCAAAATGAAATTGAGAAAATATTAGACTGGGATTAAATATAACATAATGTAGATTATTTTCAAGGGAGTTACCTCAAATAGTATTAAGAAATAGAGTATGAAAATTAATTATTTTAAAAAAACTGTAAATAAATGCAAGAATAAGAAAAAAGAAAAGTGTAAGTAATAAAATATATAAGTAAAAGGAATGATGAAAACACGGGGAGCCAGGTGTGGTGCTCATGCCTGTAATCCCAGCACTTGGGAGGCTGAGGCAGGAGGATTGCCTGGAGTTTGAGGCCAGCCTGGGCTACATAGTGAGTTCAAAGTTAGCTTGAATTGTATAGCGAGGCTATCTCAAAAAAGACAAAAGAAAAATGATAAAATGTAAATGAAAGGGTAAAGGAATATAAAAGTAAAAATTAGTTTCAAGGAAAATGAAGATTTAGCATATAAATAAACTACTTCTGTAAAAGTCAAGTTAAATGGACAAAACTGGGTCAAGATGTAGAAGGAATAATCAATAAAGCATGAGGGGAATCTATGACAACATCATCATAAGCAGACAGATTCTGGCATACAAAGCTATCCCACAAGCTTCAGAAAAGTCACGAAAATAAGGACTGAAATGTGCATCTCTCAGTAGCATGTCAGAAGTCAGTAGAAAGAAGCAAGATGGATGCGTTGTGTGTGTGTGTGTGTGTGTGTGTGTGTGTGTGTGTGTGAGTCTTTACCAAGAGCATCATTTTAGTCTTGTTCACTCTGACCTTTCGATAAAATAAGAGTAGCCAAGTAATCTCTGGATAAATTTCCTGTTTCATAATTCTCTGAAAAGAATTCAATATATCTTCATTGCTTTTTCTTTCTCCCCACTTAATTAGGGGCCAAGCTTGATGCTTGGAGTAGGGTGAAAAGTCTTTAATTGAATTCTAGGTCTTGGGCTTTATCATCATAAGAGTATACACATATTGACTTTGCTGATTGCATTATGTGTGGTAGCAATAGGAGGGTGATTAATATTGAAATATTTTAATCATTAAAAGACCTCCAATTAAATTATTTTTTTCTAAGTCTTAAAATGGGAATGTTTTCATTGTTGTTTGCAAATGTACATCTGTCTTTCAATAGAACTTTTTCAAGTTTGTTGTTTACAAATAATTCTTTGCCAGCTAATAGAAAACAATGTGAAGAGAATGGTAATTTAAATGCTTTGCTACCACACTTGGAGCTCATCACATTATCCTTCACATTCATCTTTCCTTTCATAATCCTCTTTCCTTCCATAATTCACCCTGAAAAGCTTGTGCACTTTTAGTACTGAGTTACTGTAATGAATGAAATGTTGCACGTTGCACTTCCTTCTACTTCTGTTTACTGTTTTGCCCAGCAAAAATGTAAAGCTCAGTTGTTCATATTACATTGTTTACCCTAGAGAAATCCTGGGTACTCTTTTTTTTGTGGGGGGGGGATACCAGGGATCGAACTCAGGTCCTTGCGCTTGTGCACTCATGGGTACTCTTGAAAACTCCCAATATGAGATATTGAAATCGAGTAAGAAAAGACAAGATCAGAGCTGCGGTCTTCTTTTTTTCTTTCTTAGATTTAGGATAAACTTGATCACACATTGTAGTGATTGCTCTGGAAGGAAAGCAAAGAAACCAAAGAATTAAAATTTGGATATGAGACAGCTTTTTAAACATTTTAAAGTAGCTTGAAATAATAACAAACACATAAAATAGTCTGTGTGTAATGTTAATAAAATCTATAAAGAAGCATTTTCTCATCTATCAGCACTGTTTAAAAAATAAATGATGCATCATTATTATACTAATTAACATGAATATGAGTAAACTGAGACAGACTGAATTATCTAATGAACCAACTAGTGTATATTTGTGTTGAAACTCAAATGCTCATCTCATTCTGCACCCCACGATCCATTTTGTGTAGTACTTTTCCTCTCTAAAATGAATTTCTATTGTCTACCACATGATGTCAAGATTAGACCAATAAGAGTCCTCATAGACAATAATTCACTAGCTGATTCTATCTTCCCACATCTCCAATTGCATATTTCCAATGAGATTTGGTTGAGAGTTTAGGGAAAGCCCTTCAAAAAGAACCTGAAATATGTATTGATAAGCAGCGCAAGACTATAGCACAGACATAATGCTTTCAACTCAAGTTCTTGGTTCTTCTTTTTATTTGTTCCATACTCAGGAACTCTAGATTTCATCTATAGAATACAGTCATTCTCTTCCTCTTCCTCCCTTTTCTGTGTTTTCATGAGTTTACATAAAACAAAATGAAGCCCATGAAGTACTGATTATAAACAACTTAATGTTAGGGAAATATTTAACATGTAGGCCATAAATAACTCAAGAGCTTTTTACTTACAATATCCATGAACTAGTCAACCATACTTTTTTTTCCAACAAAAACTACCATTTGTTTTAATATGATTCTCTTTACCTGTTTCTGACCAAAAATCATTAGTACTTAAATGAGAGGCATAGTCAGCACCCTACAAATTTGGAAGACCATTAGTCATACATGCCACCTAACACAAGGACACTGCCCAGCAGAGCTGCTCCACTTCTAAAGGTGAGGAACTGACCCAAGCAGATCTTTTCTCTTGTGTATTTTGGAAGTAAAGAATGAAGGAACTGGGGAGGAAGGCAATCAGAGGGGTGAAAGTTGAGTCATGAGTATGAATAAAATTGCATTGACCAAGATGTATACTTCTGAGAGGATAACATGGCGAAGAAGTCTTCTTAATTTCCCACAAGCACAAAACATTTTAACTGAAGATATTTCAAAATTTTATCATTTTCACAGTGGTCAAAAACTTAATCCTGGAGTAGGGAAAAAATTAGTTGCCGGAAAGATTTCAGACATAAGTACATTAAGAATAGCAAGACAGGAAGTTGTAGGTATTGTAAGCAATAGAGCCTTCAAAGAAATACTAAAAAAGCAGTGCTGGAAGTTTGAGACCTGATGGCTGGAGATACAGAGGAGAACACAGACACAAAATCAGGGAACTCGGAGTGACCTTTGTAAAATGACTCTCACCTCTTTGTATAAAAATCAATTTCAACAATGATCCACGTATAAAAATACTTTCACAGAACCTGAAGAATCCAGATGACAGATTTCAACTATTGGCTGGACATAGAAATAGGAAAAGATGGAGAGGAAGGGTGTTTTTATATTACCCATATCATCATTCTCCAAGCCCATGCAGCAGGTCATGCAGAGAGTTGTTTTCCACATGGGGAGGAAGAGTGAAGTGAGCACCCAAATCTCCATGGGACCTAGACTGAATTGTAGTACCATCTATCCAGGTTCCACAGATAGCCTTTGTGGATCTAGGTTCTGGGCTCACCTGACAGAACCAGAATCTAGGGTGGACTGCATATATCCAAATGCAAGGCCTTTTTCTTGTGGACCCAGGCACCTAGTAGACCCCAGTGGAATCAGTTTCCAGGTCTCCCTACTAAAAATCTCAGATACTGTATCAGTCCCCTGAAGTACTCCTAATAGCAAGTTTGCCCATGGAATGCATGAGTCAGCTTTCAAAACGGTCTGGGTGAACTAACTTGTGAGGAGCTTCCTTTGTTAAAGTTCCTCTACGAACACTGGACAATGTGCAACCTCTTCAAACAAAAAAGACACAATGCAAAGCCTCAATGATTGTGAATAGTAAGAAAAACATGACACCACCTAAGTAACAAAATAAAACATCAATAGCTATTCCTAGAGAAATTGAGATCATGGACTAGTTGAAAAAGAATTCAAAATATCCATCCTAATGATGCTCTGTAAGCTACAAATTTAATAGAAGTCTTGACCAATTAGATGTAAGAAACAGTGAGTTCAAAGGTAGGTTATTTGAAACTACGTCTTTCAAAAGGGGAAAAAAAGGAATTAAAGAGAATAAATAAATCATGTAAGACTTACCAGATAACATCAAGCAAACCAATAAACATATTATGGGGGTTGAAGGAGTACAGCAAAAGAAAGAGGCATAAAACTTATTTTAAAAGATGGCAGAAAACTCCCCAAATATGGAGAGGGAAAAGAACATCCAGATCTGGGAAGCCCAAAGAAATTAAATGCAGAAATCATTATTGAGTGATATTATAAGTAAATTTTCAAAAGTCAAAAAAGTTTGAAAATAAGAGAAAAGTGAATTGTTTCATACATGAAAATTCCTAAAAGATTACCAGTGGATTTCTAAATAGAAATCTTACAGACTAAGAGAATGAGGTGATGTGTTAAATATATTAAAAGCTTATGATACTCAAGAATGTTGTCCTTCAGAAATAAAGAAAAAAGAAAGACTTTTCCACAAAAACAAAAGTTACACTAGTTCATCACCACTTTCCCTGTCTTACAAGAAAGGCTAAAAGGAGTTTCCCAAGTTGAAACTAAAGAATGCCAAAAACTAAACACGTGAACACATAAAAAATTTTTAAAACTCACTGTGAAAGCAAAAATATAGTCAAATTGAATATATTCTAATTCGGTAACAATAGTAATATCTCACTTCTAATTTAATATAAAAGACAAAACTATTACAATATGTACTGTGCTAAAATATGGTGAATGTTTAAATTCTTAAAATTTATTACAGTAAAAGACACATTGTCATTAAGCTCCATTAAAATACTACTCTTAACTTTGAAGGCCCTTATCCTGCAGTTCTTGCTACTTTCTGAGCTGTTGTGGAAGTCCTCTTACATCAGTGTCCTTAGGTGCACTCTCCTGGATGTCTTGATGATTTGAATTGGTTCAAAATGTTTACTTTTCATCATCATTTTGATTTTGAGAAAGAGCAGGAACCACATGATATCAGCTCCTGTGAATGGGGTGGATGAGGACATACTGTAATGTTTTGACTAGCCTACCTTTCTGTCAGATGGCACTCAACAGGACCTATAGAGAAACTCACAAGAGAGGACTTTCCAGAACTGCTTCAGAAAGTGACAGTAGTGAGATAAGTGTGTCTGAAGAAAAGGGGAAAAGTTTTGAGGGGTACAAATAGTAATATATCTTTTACTGTAATCATTTTTCAAAACGTAAATGTGGGCCGGGGATTTAGCTCATGGTTCTACTGCCTGTCCCGCAAGCACAAGGTCCCAAGTTCGATCCCTGGTACCAAGAAAACAAAAACAAAAGAAAAACAAAATGTAAACATTCGTCATGTATTTTGATCATACCTTGTAACTACAGATATAATAATTTGTTAATGGATACCAATCATTAAAAGATGTAAATTGTGATGTCAATAGCAGAAAGTATTGGGGCAGAAGTTATATTGTCAAATTTTTACATATGTTCAAAGATACTATCAGGTTAGAAAAAACTTTTTTAAACTTAAGACCATTGCTGTAATCCCAAAGATAGCCACAAATAAAAATCGACATGGAGATACAAAGATTTTTAACATTTTTATTAAAGAAGCATAATAAATTCATTAATTATGGGGAGTTGGTTCACATACATATATCATGTTGATTCTTTTAGTTTTCCCCCCTCTCCTTTTCCTTTCATCTCTCCCAATGTCCAGATTCCCTTTCTATGTCCACAAAGTCTATCTCCCTGCTTCTTATCATGATTTTTTTATTTTGCTCTTTAAATTATTTATACTATGGGTTCTCACATAAGATAAACCATGTGATATTTAAGCTTCTGTGTCTGACTTATTTCACTTAGCATTATGGACTCAGCATGCATCCATTTTCCTACAAATAACTGAAATTGTTCCTTCTTTATTAACGTAATACAAAAAAATAAACAAAATATACTGCTAAAAGGATCATTAAATTGTAAGAAAAACAATGAGGAGAAAAGAAATAGAACTAGAAAAAAAATAACAAAATGGCAATGGTAAGTCCTTTTCTAGCAATAATTACTCTAAATGTAAGTGTATTAGTCTCAATGAAAAGACATAAAGTGGCCGAATGGATGGCAAAACAAGGTTCAATTGTATACTAACTATAAGGGACTTCTTACTTTAACTTAAAAAAAACACACAGATGGAAAGAAAAGGGATGTAAACTACATTTCCTATAAACGGTAACCAAAAAAGAACAAGGGTACCTTTACTTCCAGAAGACAAAAGTGGTTATTAAGGGAAAAACTATCACAATAAATGAAAATGGTCAGACATAAAGGTAACATGATCAATAAACCAAGAGGAAAATGGGGGTAGGAAATGTTGACCCAAAGCTATAAAAATTTGGCTAATGCAGAATGAATACATTCTGCAGGTCTAATGAATAGTATGTGTGTGGTACAGTTAATAATGTGTGACAGGGCCAGGGATTTAGCTCAGTGGTTTTGCAGCCTGCTACGCAAGTGCAAGGACCCAAGTTCAATCCTCAAGTACCAAAAAAATAAAAAATAAATAATAATAATAATAATAATGATGATGATGATAATAATGTGTGACAGTACAGTTTAAAAATGTGTTGCATAAGGGAAGGTTTTTAAGAGAGTAGGTCCTTAATATTCTCATCACACACTCAAAAAAGGTAACCATGAGAGGTTCTGTTAATTAATAGGACTGGTAATCATTTCACAATGATAACTTCTATATATATCAAAACACTGTGACATACACCTTGAATACATATCACTATAACATAAGTTGTATATAATTTTTCCAATTGTCTTCAATAAAACCAGTGGGAAAAGTAAATGATTCAGAGGGCTAACCTCTGTGCCACATTTACTAAAGTCATCCCCAATTCTTTAGACAGAAAGCAAAACAAAGCAATGAGCATGATTTCAAAACTTACTGCATGAATTCTTTGTAATTTGTTTTAGAATGAACTAGATGACACTCAGCCTAGAAGGTGGATTTAAGCATTTTCAACTTAATCTGACAAGCAGCTTGCCACAGAGGTTGAGAATGTACATACACCTGTGCAGATGATTTTCTTTTGAATTCTTGCTCCTCCATTTCCTGCTTGTATGATATCGGGCAAGGTGCTTAGCACCTCTGTCCCTTATACCCTTGGATGTAGCATGGCTTTAATTTAGAAATGTATAACATAAGGTTATTGTCAAAATTAGACATGAGGGCCTTAAAGCAACATCTGGAAAATAATAACCACTCAATAAATATGCTTCCACGTACACTTAGATTTTATTTCTTTAAAATATATTGATAGAGAAAATCCATTCAAGCAGTATTATCCAGAGTCCTGGACTGACTGAAGCTTAAACATTACAGACAAAACAGTCAAGAAATGTCTTTTAAAGAAGCTTCTTTAGATTTGCAAAGCTAATTTCTAATCAGAATGCTAATTTTTACTTACAATATGAAATAATTATTAATTTTATTTTCATTTTCATCTTGCCAATATATTTTCTTCAAGAAGTTATGTATTCAATGGAGGAAAAACTTACCATAATTCTTGTTAGCCAATTTGTCCTTTAGTTAAAATACTTAAAACATTCATTTCATCATTGTTCTTGCCAAGCAAACCACAATTTTTAAATGTTGAAGACCTCTTGGTGACAGGTGCCTCCTGTCTTGGCTAGAATCTACCTTTGCTGCAGGGTTACCTGGACCACTCAATTCCATTCTTCTAGTATTTGAGTCTTTTCTCCAATGAACTATGTTGTAATGAAACATGCTTTTTAGATTTCTGATTAATTAACTACATTCGAACTCATCTCTTCCTTACCTCACATCACTGCTAAATAATCATAGAGTTTAGACTTTTAGCAAACTTTTCTGTCAGACATTTAGTTTAGTGAGTAGATGTTTATAATTCCCAAAGGTTATCAAAAAGTATGTATGGCTAGGTGAGTGTGCATGTAAGTATTTGTGCAGATGTGTATCTCCCAAATGTACATAAATATGAAGACAAAATTAGCTTCAAATTTAGGAAGATTTTTTCATGGCATCTCCATGAATTTCATTCCTCCTTTCATACAAAAATCACTCCATGCATGTCTCTCGCTCCACACAGGAGACACAAAAAGTAAAATTATGAGAGTCATTGTGCCATAATTATAGGTGGAACTTCATGACTGCTACTCCCCTTGGGCTATTATGCCAAAAATACCACAGATTAGTAAAGAACAGAAATTTGTTTGTCATAATTCGTGCTTCCTAGTTCACAGATATCCATTTTTTCACTGTCCGCTTACATGGTATAAGGGACAAAGTAGCTCTTCCACCCTCTGAGAAGGGCACTAATCCCTCTCAGAGGGCCCCACTCCTGACCTAAGCATGGCCCCAAGGCCCCACCTCCTAAGGCATTATATTTCAGATTAGTACTGACCACATGAGTTGGGGGCCTGAAAATATTCAATCAATAAGAGTGGTTTGATACTAAAAGATCTGAAAAAATGAATTTGAGGAAATTTTTGACAAGACAAATAATCAGTGGTAAACTCAATCCTAATGGCCTCACTCTACCATGTCAACACTGTTCATTTTACAAGGCTTGGTCCAGCTTCTCTCTTCTCTTGATGCCATCTCCAATCATTCTGCCAGAAATTAGTTTATCACAAGTCACCTCGTGTCATTTTATTGTTCTTATATGATAATGAGTACCTGGATAGTAAAACTTATTCTCTTTATTCCCCCCACCTTCCTCCCTCCCCCCCAAATGTCCCATAACACTTTCTCATAGAAATTCATAAGAGAAATTTAAGAGAAATTTCAAGACATTTAACCCCTTCATTTAGTAGAGTTAGATGGTTTGACCAGGATTAAATAGCAAAATGACTATACAAAATAGTATCATGGCTCCCAGTTTAGTTTTAAATTATAATAATGCTTGTAGAATTTCTTTTTAAAAAAAGACAAAATGAGCATGATTTTGACATTTCATTTTGGTTTTGTTTTTCTTGTTGTTGTTTTTTGAGATGAGGGTCTTGCTATGTTGCCCAGGCTCGCCTCAAACTCACCCCCCCCCCAGTCTCCCAAGTAGTTGGCATTGCAGGTGGGCACCACAATGTCCAGCTAAGTGTCATTCTGAATGACTTGATAACATTATGAATTTATCAGAAGAAGAGGCTATGGTCAAAGAAAATTGAATTCTCAGTCTTATTGGGAGAATAGTGGTAATGTTAAGAGTAGAAATTTTATTTATCAGATGCAGTGCCCAGGAATAATTCAAGTGGAATATTTTATTTTTGAAAAGCAATGTGTTTTGCTATATTAATACTTCAACATTCTTGAATATATTTGTTTTGGAAACAGAAAGGCCAAGATAGGCTTGAAGTATGGCCCCCTATTTTAAATAGTATTTTAGTTGGATCTAGCACATGACCTTGACTCAAAGGAAAATCTGGATATTTGAGTTAGTTATCCATTATTAAAAGCTAATGCATTAGCATCCATCTGGTTCTGGCAATTTTAAAACATCTAAGTATTCATTGCTCTCACCACCAGTGTCTCTCACTGGTTCAACACCCTGGTTTGCCTCCCCCTTGAAGGAAATGGAAAGACTAGCTCCATTCACACCAGCGACAGGTTTCCAGACTTCAGGGTCGCAGCTCTGTGTTAACTGTCAGTTCTGTCACCCCCACTTCACTAGGCATGGGGCATAACTCTGGCAACATTTACACAAACACAGAGCAATAAGCTTCCATGTCAACTTAAACCTCTCCTGTGCCATCTTACTATTTTTTCCTTCTCTTTCCTCTTTTTTTCTTTTTCAAAAGAAGGCTAACTTGCCTAAAAATGGACTTACTACATTCATTAATGGATTTTTCATTTATTTACACTTCATGTCTAAATCTACTTCTTTAAAGAAAAGATTATTCTCTTCCTCTCTCAAACCCTTTGTCATCTCCACTCTCCACTCTGTTAACAAATGTGCATGTGCTTGCTATTTACATAAAGTCCAAATTCTCAACATTTATAGTATTACATAGACACCCAGAAAGCTTCATACACCTTCTAAAAATCATATATTTGGATGTGGTTCTTGTATATTAACTGCTGCTGACACTTCTATTGAATTTAGAAGCACTCACATCATCTTCGGTTATTATTATTGACTCGGAGGTTATGAAGGGTATAGTTGAATTTAAGAACTATGACCTTGCTCAGAGGTCACCAATTAAATTTTATGACTTACCTTATGAAAAGCTAGAGTCACAAAAGGGACAGAATAACTTTTTCTCCCTTCAGGTTGTAATATAATTTATGAACAACCGTCGGGATTTGCTCAAAGTATTTCCACAATGTAAGATATTGCTTTGAAGGGCCTGGGTGGCATCACTGGATGAATTTTGACCTAGATTCCTAAGAGAAGCAGGTCTCACGGCTCTCTGCCCCTTCTCAGACAAACAGTAATCGGATTCTCTAGCACAGATGCTGTCACAATCGGTGACCTTTACTGTGAGTGATAGAAGCTAAGCCAAAGGAAAGACAGAATTACTTCTTACCTTGAGGAAAGTCACACGTGAGGCTACTTTCAGGACAATGTAGGGACAGGCGCCCTACTGCTTCTTTGCCCTGTGAGGCCTTTCTGTTGGGCTGATTTATACACCCTGGCATACGCCCTGCTCCAGGAATGTGAAGAGAACTCTTCCTGTGCTGAAGGAGATCAAGACTGGAAACCACTGGAGACTGGTGTCTGTGAAGGAAAACTGTCAGCCTGCAGGCAGGTCAGGGATGGAGGGAATCAAATGAAACCAGCTACAGTCTTCACACTTATCAGGCATCATTGCCTAATGAACGTGGACCCAAGAATGTTCATGGCCTTTTTATATAGATGCCCTGAAATGTATACATTATGTGTACGTCATTTACCTCATCAGTTGCTTCTAAAAATAATTTATTACAAGTTGTTTTCTTTATTATTTAAACATTAATTTGTAGGCATTTTATAATGTTTGTGAAAGTTATTTTTCTCGATGTTTTTCCTGAATTTTGCATATTATATTTCAAATATCCCTCCATATATATATATATATATATTCCATATATATATATATATCCTCATATATATATATATATTCATATTCATTTCTGTTATAGTTACAATTTCCCTGGAGTTCAGGCAAATGAATTTTACTTGTTCTGGTAAAAACCCACCAGTTATAGCAAAATACTTCCAAATTAAATTCAAATTCAAAATGACTTTTAACTTGCAATATATTTTATTGTGTTAAAAGTTGCTTATGGTAAACTTATTTCTTGACAATTTTATGATACACATAAGAACTGTATAATATTACTTATACGTCACCTTTTGTAAGAAGCTACATGACTTGCATTGAGGTACATAATAACATGTTTAATTATAATGTATTAGGATTTACATAGACTTCTTTACATGGTGAAAATAGGTTCACATTTTCCTAATCTTCATAAAATTATGGCTAGCTTTGAAGGAAAAAGGTAAGGTAAAAATTTTAAGTAGGAGAAAATGTATGTTTTAACTATTAAATAAAAATTGGACTGCTGATTGTTTTTATAGTGTGAACTTTTGTTTTACATAATACTATACCTAAAAATTAAGATAGCATTTATAACAATGATAATAACCAGCATTTATTCTTAATAGATGCTGGTGGGCCTCAGTTAGAAGAGAGTGTCATATATTTACTATATGCTCTGAAAGAATAAATCTAGGTCAGAACACAATTTAAGTCACTGCCAGACCATTTCCGATAATGCTTAAGTTTCTGAGCACTAGTAGACATTCATGAGTGAGTGTCAAACAAGGGGACAGAGCTGAAGGGACATCGGGCCCAATCGGTGACCCCTGCTACTTGAAAAAGACAGAGAGAACTTCTCAAAAAGGCTTGTGAAAGGATGAACTCCCAGGGTATACAAATTCACTCACAGACTCATATAAACATTTTCCAAGACCTCTGAGACCTATAAGAAATAAGCAGCTTTTATTAATATTTCTAACCATTTATAGTCACTTAGCTTATTAAGATTTAATTACTTGGGGCCAGGGATTTAGCTCAGTGGTTCCGGCACCTGCCTTGCAGTGCAAGGTCCCGAGTTCAATCCCCGGTACCAAAAGAAAAAAAAAAGATTTAATTACTTGGTGACTAAAGAGATAACAATAAAGAGCAGCATGTCAGAGAGGGACACTTCTGGCCAATTGTTTTTTCTTTCTTTATTGCTTCAACTAAGTAGGAGACCCAAATGGCAGAAATTGAGTCTTTTCATGAGTGCTTTTCTTTTGCGGAGCAACGAAAGGTAAGGGGCACTGTCTGACATTTCCGATCTGGAGTGTAAGAGAAGAAGGTGATTTACTTTTTCTTAACAATTATCTTATGTGTAGTGACAGCAACAGCTCCAGGAATGAAAAGGAAAATCCGGCCTAGGTTTTGGAAGAGTCCTGGATGGCATGGACCAAAATGGACCAAAATAATATCATTTGGGCCCATTTCCCTTAATGATAGCCTAGGACCTTCAAATATAACTTTAAAAACAATTATGCAAGTGTTTAAACATTAACCCTCCTTGGTTGCTTGAGGTGAAACCCAAATAGGTTGATAAAGTTCTGATTTTTCTCATGCATTACAAAGTTACTATAGAAAAGTTCTTCTACACAGAACCTAGGCTGTGGGGGATGACCCAGCTGTGCATTTATGACAGTGGGATGTGGAGTGTGACAATAATTAAACAAGGAAAGATAAAAATGAAATCTATTAGATAGAAAAGTGATCTTTGGTGAATATATTGGCCATATGCAATTGGTAAGGCAAGATTTAGATTATATATATATAATATGTTAATTTTACCATGTCCTCACTTTTTCCTTTCCATGTTTTAAATAAAATGTATTGATAATGGACAGTGAAATAACAGTATCAAATTATTTTTTAATTGTATCTGCACATCAACAATATGACCTAAAATGTATTCCAATAATGTTCTATCAATGGTAATATGATAAAATAGACCTCTCTAGACTTATCTTTAAACTCCACTCTTGTATTTATCTCCTTTATTAACTGGATTGCAATCCCATAATAATCAGTCTAGCTGGAGGATAGTGCTTGGCCCCAAGGACCTAACTGAGCATTAGTTTGAAAATCGTAACTATCTTAAATGACTCACCAGAAGTTGTTGACATTTAATCCAAGAATTAGTGATGAAATTCTTCAGACTCTGGAAACAAGGACTATTTTTGCATCATCTGGATAGAAATTCTTGCCCTATCAGAACCAGTTCTAACCATTGTTTTCAGCATTTGAAGCTCAACTATGACTAAGTGGTAAACAAGGACTTTGTTGCAATTTTCTTTGTTTTACTGTACTTGTCAAAATTTAAGGATTTTTCATGTTTTGTGATTAATGGGCTTTCTATTAAAGAAGGTGAGACATTGTGGTACTTGCCTTTGAATGGCTCTTCACGTTTTTCATGGTTATGAAGGCTTTTTGAACAAATTAACAAGTGCCTGAAAAAGGAAAATAACAATTATTTCTCATAACATAGAAATCACCTCATGTAAATATGTGAAGTTTTCATGAAGAAATACATAGCATAGTATCAGTGGAAGAGCTTATACAGATGTCTTGTTTTTGATTCTTTAAATTGCCTTTATATACTTTCAATTTATTTGCTAAAAATAACTTCTAAAAGAATTATATTTTGGGCCCAACCTAGCAAGTTGAATCAGATATTTAAGAAATAACAGTTCTAGGAGACCCAAGCAGAGGTGTTCAGAAGGGTTTCACAGAATCCGTGTGCCTCTTAACATAGAAAGCAATGTTTTTGTGTCCTTGGGTAATGAACATTAATTATCATGAGAGATTTATTGAGTTTTGAAATACAATAATGATTTAGAATCACAACAAAAGAAAACAAAAACCTGTGCTTATACAACCTAAGATACCCAAAACATATTTTACCCCCCCCCAAAATAAAAGCAACAACAAAATCCTGTGCTTACATAATCTAAGATCCCCAGAACATATTTTACCCCTTGGGCTTGGGAGAATCTGGTGCAATTTTATACTGGGCAGAGTCTTCAGGGCCACACTGGGCTGGGTAGACATGCAGTGAACACAGCTTCTAGTCTATACTTGGAGATTCACTGACCTTTTCACCTTTGCATATCATTTAACAGAGTCATTCTCTTTTTTGAATCCTTAAAACGAAAATGCTAATTATCTACTAAGAAAGAGTAGAGGACATAATGAATGAGAAAACACATAATAAAATTATGAAGTGCTATATAAGCATAAGAAATTACCATGACTTCATGGCTTGAATTTTAGGTATTAAAATGTACAGTAAACAGAAAATTGCATACAGCAGCCTGCCATATAAAGACCAAACAGTAGTGAGCTGTTTCAGAAATACTTTTCTCAATTCTATTTACTCAAATTTTCAAATTCATCATACCTATGAGCTTCCCACTTTGCTGGATCCATGTTAACATTTTTTATAAAAACTTTTTGAAATAAGCAATAATGTTCTTAGAGCTGTAAAAACATGATGTTCCAACTGCACTTTTTATAGGCTTTGTACCCTTTTCTTGGTTTTATTGCCAAAACAACCCATGGAAACAAAAGATGCAGAAAAGATATGAAAGGAAGTAACGACTGCTGAGCAGTTATCCTGTAGATGAATAATAGACAAGTACATAAACAGATGCAAGCCTAACGCGGATGCAAAATGAATGAGAGGAAGCAAACAGCAAAAGCAGTTAGAGTTAGGCTTGGGGAGTGGGCATTCATTGATCGTACTAGGAAAATGCTCTACTGCTGACAAAACAAAATCTTTCTTCCTTTTAATACTATTGTTGCTTCTGCCATTCCTATCTCCTTTTGACAAGTAAAACAATTTTTTAAAAATTAATCCTGTTCAAATGTAAGCCTTTAACTTCAAGACAAAAGCATGCTAATTTTAAGGCAGTATTCCTATCATATTTCTACAAGCACCAAAAATTATTTACCAAGCACACCCATATATAATATGTACTGTGTCAACTAACATTTCTTGAGGACCACCCAATTGCTGCCTTGATTCCTGCTCACTAATAATTATCTGTCTTGACTAATTGAATTCATTCAATCAATATTTCTTCATGAATGTGTATAATCCAATTTTAGAGTAATAATAGCTATACTTACTATACTTTCCTGGGTGCTTACTATGTGCATTTCACACGGATATTCTCCTTTTCATCTGGTACAAGCTGTTCCATTAGTATAATCATTCAAGAGATCTTGAGCATACACTTGAATTTAGACTGTTGTAATTTTTATAAGATGTTCAAGCTTTATGGTAAAAGATACAAATATAATACAATTGAAAATCTTTAAAGTAGGAATAAAGTGACTACGGTAAAAAGCTAAAATGGTAGATACTTGAGAAAGAGTGGGGGGTCTTTAAATTCCACCGTAATCTGATGAATCCAATCCCACAACATGCAGAGCTGTCTCACTATAAATTGTAGTGAATTGGCTGCTTGCTCCAGCTGAGAGACCCACATATGAGTTCACTGTCCTCATCTTCCTGTGTCTCAACTAAGCCTTAGAAAGAACTGTCTTCTCAATTTTAAAGATAGGTGGAGATGTACAGGTCTTGTGGGATTGGAACTTTTAGGGCAGAAATGGTAATGCCAATAATTTTTGCACCTGCCATACTCACCCAGGGATGTTGGGCCAGGAGGCTGTGGGGACATGAAGATCGACTCATTACCACCTAGACAGCCACCATTGAGAGCATTGCTGGTAACTTTCCTGCTTAGACACAACCTCACCTTACATGTCTGTAGCAATGTGTGTAATGGTGAACTCTGGGGTTTTACCTGTAAGTTTAAAAATGAACAACATCAATGAGAAAAGATTAAATCTCAGAAATTTCTCTATACTCTAAACTGATCACTAGGAATAGGATGTTCCATTCAGTAATTATTCTTTTACCACATTGCCAAGAAATTAAGAAAATGAAAGGTAAATGTTTTAAAAATTGAGAAAAACAAAAAGTATTTAATATTATATTCTTAAAATATCTAGGAGTTTATTTGCTTATTATTGTGGTTTTTTTACTTCAATTTTTAAGAATTATCAGATTACTAGAATTGCTTATATAGGGCTTGAATTGACTTACATGTATACACAATTCTTGGTAACTCTCAGGAAAAACGAATTTGTAATTAAATTATATTTTCTGATATATAATTCATAGTTGAAAAAATTTTAATCATTTTACATTTTTAAGCAATGTTATAAATCTTATTTTGTTTTCACAAATGCAGGTTTCCCACCATTTTTAAAATCATTTGAGTAGAATTACAGGATTATGCCATATCTATCTGCTGCATAAATTTTTATTTCCAACTTGAATTTCATTGAACACAGAAAGCTGGCCTTTTATCCAAATGTATGAGTTTACAGTTTTTCCCTTTTTTCTCCCTGAAATTCAGGAAGACATTTACGATGAGCTATGTGCTTTGGACAATGTTAATACTGAAAGTCTCTGGTTCTGCTTTGCTGTTGCTTATTTTCCCAAATTTGTAAGAAATTATATTATATTGTGTTTTCTTCCTAAATTAAATTGAACATTTTCTTCATTTTTCTATGAAAATCGTTCTGCCTATCTGGCTTATTTTTAAAGTAGTAAGTTGCTTCCTGTCTTGCTAATTATCTATTCCGATGCTTACTTAAATTCTAATGGTTATAATTCATTTAATGAATGATTTTGAAGTATTATTGTTCCTTCAAATATTTTAAAAGTCAATAACTGCATGATGTATCTCTTTAAATTTTATTTTGAAAGCATGAATAAGCTGCATATTTTAAAATACTATTTGAAACAATATTAAATAAGTGAATTTGTTCATTTTTATTGTTTAAAACTCTGGAATATTAGTAGTGTAAACTGTGTGTGTGCCTGTGTGTGTGGTGTGCAGTGTGTTTCTGTATATGCTACACATGTAAAAGGAAATATTCCAGAAATATGGCGCTCTGTTTATGGGTATCTCTCATGTTGTCACAAAATTTCATAGCTTCATATAACAGCTAAATTACCTTCTGAAAGCTAAAAATTAATACAGTGTCATTTAATTATGCAATAGATTAGCTTTTTAAAGAAGTTAAAGCAGAATTAGATAAAGTAAGTTAGTTGCCATTTCCAAATATCCTTAACTGTTTCATGGTGCTTTAAATCACGTATTTCCTGATTACACTTTTAGGAAATACCATACAATATGCTGCAATAATTTTTAGTTATAACATTTTATTTATAAAACTACATGACCACTAACTTTCAAATTGGTAATGATCAAATATTGACATCCTATTCCACTAATGAAACTTCTGATAAAAGTGATATCTACTCTTATATCCTGAAATAAGGTCCCACTTCCAAAGTCCCTCTCTGTTGTACAGAATGACAGTTTAGTTTCTTAATATCAAATTCTTTTGCCTGTTCCAAGCAAAACAGATGGTTAAGATAATTATAATGAAAATGGCATGCTGAGAAAACTGTTGAGAGACCATTCATTCTTGGATTTTTCCTTTCTCCACTTTCTAAATGCAGCGAGTATCAGTATGGCAGGATGAACAAACCACATTTGAAAGTTACTTTCAGGCTTACTCTGCAGGCCACCTGGGAGACTCAGATCAGGCCAGTTAAACCTACCTGCTCTCCGCTAAGAGAACAAATCCGGGGAGGGGCTTGTTTACACCAGCAGCTCTTCCAGTACTCAGGGAGGGTGCCTGGGAAGGGCTTCCTGGAGGAGGAGGAACAGGGGGAGGAGGAAGAGGAGTCAGCCTGAGAAAAAGCAAAGAGGGTTCCTGCGAAATCAAACCCAAGTTACTTTTTTGTTGACCAAAAGAATTTTTATGCAAAAGGCATTTCAAATGAGTTTAAAACAGAGAGCAAAAATGAATCTGAAATGCCTACCGTATGCTTTTTCAGCACTTTCTAGCAATTATGACAATTTAGGTGGTTATGTAAATTACACAATTCTTGTAAAATGATATAATTATGAAATGTTGGGGCAAAAACAGAAAAGGATTACATTGCTTTAAAGTGAATACTGCAATGATAGAGGATTGGGAATACACTCTATCACCTTTTATAAATCCCTTGAGATTTTAGAGTTTCGGATAGGAAAGTATAAATAAGAACTAATTTTCTTTGGGCATAGGTTTTAGTAAAAACTACTTAGGGTGCTAAAATGTACCAAAAATATTGTGAACTGATTTTTCATTATTTGGATTCAGATTATTAAATCTATGTTTACCAAAATAATTCATTCACATAACATTAATTTCAAAAATATTATCATCATCCCTAGTGTAAGTTATTTGCTTTCAAAATGCTTAAACCATTATGGTTTATAACAAAGGTTTCATTTAGCATTGAGTGGCTCTTGTTTTCTAGGGAAAATTTTATTGGGGAGGTATTTCATGGCTAAGACACGTTTAAGAAGTATAAGAGCCCTAAATATCCATATACAACTTCAGAAATCTCACAATTACTTTTGGAGAAGAGTATGAAATTTCTTTTCCATTTAAATCTGTACTGATTGCCTTATCCATTATTCTCCAGTTAGTCAGCAATGCAACGTACATAGCTGTGTTTATCAACAGTAATAGAATCATCTTCTCTTTACTATTTAGCAAGATTATATTATGTTGAATTTCAAAGTCCTTTACAAAGGTCCTTACATTTTTTGGGACCGTTCCAACCAAAAGAGACACAGAGAAAGAACACATAGCAGGTTTGTGCTTTGCCAGAGGGAATTCCAAATATAATCACGCCTTCTAGAGCCCCAAACTTTTGCACTAGTCACCCTGAGGTTCGGTATTTAAATTGCCCTTGCCAAGCCTGTGCTCAGTTAAACCCACTTGGGATGTGTGAGTGACAACAGAAACTTGCCAGCTTTCTTTCCCTCTGGGGATGGGGGGAGTAGGGAAAGGTGGAGAGCTAGGAGGGGATCATCTTCCATCCGCCTGTGGATGTACCACGTGTTCTCCCCATACTACAGTTCTTTGCCTTAACAACTTGTTCTTAATGATACAAATAATTTCCCTCTGGGCCTACCTCTTCCCCTGATCCATTCACTCATTGCTTGTACTAAATTTTAGTTGATGATCATCAATTTTAAGCAACTTATAGAGATGCATATTGAATACTCATTTCAATGAATACAAATGCCTTCCCGCTTTATAAACTACCTCAAGGATACAGTCGCAGCACCTCAGCCTAATGTGTCATGTGGACTTCTGAAGGGGGAAGCATTTTCCCAATTTTGCCCCACTCAGACTTGCTGAGACATCACAAAAGGAAATTCTGAAACTCTATTTAAGAGCAAGAACAAAGAGTACTGGCATGAAATCTTGCTTTTAAAAATAGGAAATACGAACATCCTCCCTTAGCCAATGTGTACAGTACAAAGAAAAAGAGAGACAGAGAAACTTACAGTGCTCTTCACTCAAGAGTTGCTTCAGATACATTGTCCAATTTGTCCCTGGCTCACCAGACTAGGGTGGGGAATTGTTTGAAAAATTGTTTCCCCGCCACTTCCTTTCCATGTCCCTTTTCTTCTTTCTTTGGCTGCACATAGCTTAAGGCAAGCCCTTGTAATAAATAAGCTTGCATTATCTTGAAGGCTCTTCGTGTGTTCCCCTCTATCTTCCAACTTTAGCCAAGACACCTCAAGAAATGTCTCTTCCTTTTTGCAACCATTACGGCAAAATAACAAGCATGGATAATAAGCTTGAACTGTTTTTGTGTAATGAACACAAAATGCTATTTTAAAGCAGCCAGCAGACTCTTCCTGTTGCTGTGGATGTAGTTTAGATCTTAAAATTGTTGAGGCTTGGAAACTGGCATGTTAGGGCTTGTAAAAGAATTCTTGTTGGTAGGGTGGAGCCTGGAATTTGTCTTTAAAGCAGGCACACCCTTTATTCTGGGAGTTGTCATTTTAGTGATCACTTTTTAGTCTTACAAGTACCTTTCCATTACTTTGACAGCAGTGAAACACTTCCCTGCTGAAATAGACAAGTTCCACTAAATATTAACTTTTCTAGTTAATAATCCATCTTGGTTGCTTCTACCAGGACTGCACCCATTAAAAAGTTGGCTGTCTCCCAAATTCAAGTTGGTCCTGTCTTAGTGCATGCTCCAAACTGGGTTCATTAGAACAGGTTTACACATATTTGAGAAGTATTTGGTCCCATTAGGTGATTCTTTTGCCTTTGTCCCCAAGATCTAAATCATTCTATATGGTCAGTGTTTTTCTTGTACAGAATATGTAGTCGTACTGCCAAGCATTCTGTATTCCAGAAAAATATAAGAAGGCAACCCTGGACTCTTGAGGGAATAATTCCTTTTATTTTTTCTCCTTGAACTTACCCTAAACTTTAAGAGAAAGGAATTTTGAGTAGTCATTTGCCTACAGAGGACACATGGTTCTTGAAACACCAAAGCATTACAGGATTTAGTATAAAGTGAATTGGTAGAGATCCTGAGAAAGCCATGCATTCTAGAGAGGGAGATATCTAACATTTGCCTCTACACTTTTGCTGGTTTCATTTATTTCTCTTGTATTACTCTTAGATTTTAGCTTAATATTTTAAAAAAAATAAATACAGCTTTTATAACAAAATGGATCAATCTCCCAAACTTTATAAAAATGAAAAGAGACAAAATAATATACATAGTATAAGTCTGTTCATATAAATTTCAAAACCAATGCTTTAAACAGTTCAGCATATAAAATACCCATCTATAGGGCTATAAAGAAAACATGACAAAATGCTAACAACTGGAATTGAGGTGAAGAGCATGAAAAGTGTCAGGTAAAAGGCCGAAGACCAAGACCAGACCAGGCCACAACAAGCCATTATTAAGGAAACGGATCTGCCAGGCTGTCTCTGAACAAAGGAGAGACAAAAGCAATATGGCCGGAGCAGGGAAAGTCTTTTATACAGACTGGGTTGGGGTTTGTATGGGCTGAGGTGGGGTTGAGTGAGGTAGTGTCTAGGGAATGGAGGAGCCAGTGATGTCACTAGGTGGTAGGAGGTGAGCGAGTATTAGGTTACTCTCTAGGCGGGAACGGGGGCATACTGGGAAGAAGGGTTTGTTCTTTGGTGGGAGCAACCATTTTGGCATGACGTCACACGGGAGGGGGCAAGGCACGATAGGAAGAGGGCAGCTACTATACATAATAGCTGCTGAGGTACTTTCCTTCAGGTTTGAGGTTTTTCAAAATAAAAGAATAGGAAAGGTTAAAAATCAGCCAAAGCTAATGTATACTGTTTTGGAGTAGTTTGGGTACTAAATGATAAAGAAAATAATCATCAAAATTCAGCACGGGGCAGACTAGGGAAGAAGGGTGAACCAGTGATGACAGAGAGTCTGGCGGGGCGCTTCCGGTGCGGGCGGTTTCTTCCTCCACATATAAATGTTATGCATTTCCTTTATCATTACTATTTAAACTATCCATAGAAATTCTATGCATTTTGGATGCATATTTCACAAGAGGAAAAACGTAAAACCTGAGAAAAAATGCTATACATTTGAAAAACATTATTTTTAAAGAATAAACTTTTTGCTTTGTAACAAGTAAACATTAAGTAAAGGGGCTTTGGCCAAGTGCATCGTTTTGTATTTGAAGATCAATCATTAAGAGGTACTTTCCATGGAGTAATTTTTTAAGGCTAATTAAACTCATGTCTTTTAAGGGCCGGGGATTTAGCTCAGTGGTTTCGCCACCTGCTGCGCAAGTGCAAGGACCCAAGTTCGATCCCTAGTACCAAAAACAAAACAAAACAACAAAAAAACCAAATCATGTCTCTTAGTTTTACAGTAGATAGTTTTTGTATGTTTTTTTTGTTTGTTTGTTTTTTGTTTTTGAGACAGGGTCTTGCTGTGTAGTTCAGGCTGGCCTTGAACTCACTATGCAGCCCAGGCTGGCTTTGAACTTGTAGCAATCCTCCTGCCTCAGCCTCCTGAGTGCTGGGATTACAGGCATGTGCCATCACACTTGGCTTAGATAGTTCTTACACAAGCAAGAATTCTGAATCTCATTAAATTTGGTATTAAGTAATACATTCTTCTAAGTAATTCCCACAAACTGCAGCATGACACCCTGATTTTATCTGCTTTTGGGCAGGTATCCTAGTACATGCAACTTAAAATTTTAAGACAACTAGATACAAGTTTTACAATTATGTAAATATCATGCCTAATTCATATTGTTCCTATGTGACTTTTGCCTATTTTCTATAGCTTTTTCTGACTTCCTCATTGGGTCTTGACAGTATTTTTGTGTGTGACACTGTCAAAGGCAAAAAGCGATCAGAATTTCACATTCCTAGACTGACTTTTAATGTACATTACATTAATCCACTTGATTATCACCTGTGTCATCTAAATCATTATCAGAATCTAAGTCATCATCACTTTCTTCATTCCTTTTGCAGCTTCTTCTATGATTGGATCTTTGATTATTTTCAGTATTTCCTGTCTTTTCTGGTTCTTTATTAAAGAGAATAACAATGTCTTCTTTCCTTCCACATTTCGCAGACTTCAATTTCACAGGCACATGGTCTACACATTATGTGGTAAGAGCCTTCGCGGTCTTCTGTAAACATTTAAGGCTTTTAATTCTGCTTGGATTCTCGGAGATAGCATATATGGTTCAACTCTCTTCGTCCCAATATCCTCAGCCATCACAAATTTACTTTGAAAATAACCTGCACAGTTAAGACATGCATACCTTACCTCCCAGCTTTGCCCCTTAAAACACCTTTGAGAAGCGGGGTGGGCGGGCAACCCACTTTCTGGTCCTCCTTCTATCTCTCTGAGAAGCTATCTTTCTCGCAATAAATCCTTCCAAGTCTTAATCTCCGTTGTCCCATTTTTTAGGTTTTGATAATGGTTTATATTTGCTGTATTTTACCCGCCATTCAAGAACTTCTTTACAACGCTGACATCCTCCATCATGAAGTTTTGCATTAATTCTCCAGCTTTTCCGCTCCCAGTCTGCACACGTGACTCCCAGCAGAGGTCAAAGGTCGACCTCCCGCCCTCTGGTTCCAGGAGCAGGATACTCCCCGCGCCCAGGTGCTGCTGAGGCCCAGCACGCAGGCTCCTTTTTCAAAACTGCTTAATATTATCAAATATAGGAGGAGAATTAAGGGAGGGAGAAAAGGATGCAGGAGGAAGAAAGCAATCTAAAGAAGATGTCTTCAGAAAACTAGGGTGAGCTAGCAGAAATCTGGGAAAAGGTTACAACTAGGCAGATCTGAGTTAATTTTAGGACTAACAGGAAATCAAGAAAGCATAACAGTTTCTCTCAAAACCACAGCATGGGACTTAGGCAATGTTCAACATTATAAGGAAGATTTAACTTTGGTATGTTTGAAGACTATTAGTAATATATTTCAAATGCAATCTATATTATATGCTCTTTTCTTTAGAAATGTCACAATTACACATTGGCTAGAGTTATTTTTCCTTTCTTAAAAAAACAGTAAATATGATCATATCTAATTAAAATAACATTATAATAAAACTTCAAGGATTAACAGAAAATAGTAATTAGCTTTAAGTAATTTTGTATGGATAACAGAAAATTATCACCTCCATACCAAGCACACACACACACATATATTGACACACATACTGTATATGCACCATTTAACAAAACGTGTTTAATTTATACAAAATAAATATATACAAAGGACATAACAAACTTTATTTAACTGCATGGTAAAGCAATTATCCTCTTGCTAAAGCTCTTTGTGAACTCCTAGTATAGCCTGTTCTTAAAAATGCTAATTAGTTTTGGACACTCTTTCTTTTATAGAATGCTTTCAGAAAATATAGTGTCCCCTGAACAGTATATTCTACCCCTGCTTAATCCAATCTGTCAACCAACAATGAACAACATTGGCTCAGCTCTTGCCCTCTTTGAGGTTATAACATAAATGTTAAGATACAAATAGTAACATTTATTATCTGCTGTGAAAATGTTTGTGATAGACTTACATGTTAGGGACACATATCATCTAGCAGAAGAGGATGAAGACTTCCCTGAGGTATCTGGACTTAGTAGAAAAGGAGAGAAGGTTTTCCAGAGAGAGGTAATAACAGGTCTGAAGCCTGCTTTGAATAGAAGAGGATTTCTTTATGGGAACTGAAATGAGGAAAGTAAACATCACAGGGAGTGAAGGAGATAAGACAAATGGTCTAAGAAGTTTGTCCTGAAGTCGAAGCCAACATTTAGAAATACTTTCAAATCTGCACGACTCTAGGAAGATGTGTATTATTAAAATTACAGTATTTTTCTGACCATACCAGTTCTCCACTTGAAACAGTTACTGCTGTATGTTATCTTGATGTCATGAATTTCTATTCTGTTTTTCTAATTTGTGGAGGATTTGTAATTTTACATCACATAACAACTCTTGTTAGTGACATTTCAACGTAAAAGATTTTTAAGATATTATACCATTTATCAGGCAAGAGTTCTTCTTTCACAGTGTAATGATTTTTCCCCTAAAGCATACTAATTAGCTAGACCAAATAAGTATTTTATTGACTGTATAGCTTTACATACAAAGTTACCAATTTATAAAAAGTGTGTTCTGTAGTAAGAGAAATCCTGGAATAAATCTGAATTGCATGTATTTGAAAACAAAGAGTGAAGACGCTATAGGAGAACTCTGTTCTATTTTAAGGTTCTTAGTGGTAAATATTCATTTTGCCCTAATAATATTAAGTTTATGTTTGGTACAGGATAAATATGAATCCAAAGGAAGTAAGATATTGAAAAAATGGTGCAAGAAGAATGAACTTTCCAAAGACCAATTCTTTTTCACACCTCCTCCACCAGCTA